ACTCCACGCAATAAGACCAGACATGAATATATTCATCAGCCAGACGGCATGCATTGCATTAAGTGAGGTTGACCAGTGTACATATGAACGTCTCCTTCTCCCATGTCTGATACAACAAAACACCATCTGGTCGTTGTACCATTTATTACGGTTGATATGCACCATAATGATGTATATCGTGCACAACTCACAAAGACTCAAGCCGCGGATGTCTTGGCCTCCTTCTCTTTCTTCCAGACAGCGATGGTGGAACTGTCGAGGTGGATCTGGTTGTAGGTGCTGACGTAGCTAGGACATTCGCCATCGTGGCGCGTGAACTTGCCAGATGCTTCGCCGATGACATAGTCGATCGAATCGCTAGCCTTGAGATCCAACATACCCCAGTGATTGAGGAAGCCAAGAGCAGAGTTGTACATGCTCTTCAATTTAAACCCCTTGGGAGCTTGGCCTTTCAGAAAACGAATGTAGATAGTGAGACGCTGGGTGTATACGTGAAAAGTGAACTCTACACGAGGTTGTAGGTTGGTGGTACTGCGAAGCATCTTCAGCCAATTTTCGTTGGTGTTGGCGAGGAAGGCATCCAGTGCGTCGAGATACCCATAACTCCACCTCATTTGCCAAAGCACTTCATCCCAAGTGTCCTCGTGATCGCAGTCCATGCCGCATCCACAATGGATGCTGTGTCCGCATTCGAAGCACGCTACGTTGGGCACATCGTCTTCGAGTACCTGACGGGAGGCGAAGTTGACAGTAAAGGTTGGGCAGTGTGCGCGTAGGCGGGCGAGGAGGGTGATGTTTGTCAGGACGTCCTCCATAGACTCTTCATCCCCACCGTAACCTTCCTCAAGTTCATCGCCAAGCTGACCGTGGTCCCAGGATATTAGCAGAAGCTTTGGAGCGTTCTGGTAATCTGCGACCTTGGGGTAGTATGCGTTGATGAAATGAGCGAGTGTTGGGAGTTCCACGCAGAAGCGAGATTGACGAAGCCACATAGGCCGATACTCCGTCCGAATCTGCTTGCAGACTTGAGTGAGCGCACGGTAACGCAGCGTGCTCAGTAGATGCGGCACAGTAGTGCTGTCACTTGCGACCTTAGAACGCTTGAGCAGAAGCGGTCGTATTAGATCATCGTCGTCATCATATACCCCTTCTTCAGCGAAGTGGTATATGCGATTGCGGATTTCTGCGAATAGTTAGCCAACCAAAACGCTATATACGCAAAAGAGGGACATACCAGCAGGCAGCTCGAGGAATTGGCAGCAATTGAGCATGGGCTCGAACTTGGTCTTATCGCCAACCGTCTTGCCACCCGAATTACTGCTGTTACCCTTCTTGGCGTCGCTTGTCTGGAAGTTCTGTCCTTTGCCTCTGTATATCGGTCAGCTAAGGTGTAGGGCGATATGTGAAGGTACATACGCGTCGGAAGGCATCTTCACTGTTGAATCTGAAGAGACCTGTAGAGAGGGGAGCGCAGTCTTCAGGTTAGGTGTCAAGCAGGGTTGGGTAAACAACGAGAACAGGCAGCGAAATGCGCATTTGTTAGTCGCGGAAAGAGCGCACGAGCGTGACGCGATTTCCCGTGACCGATGACGCACTATGCCTACACCGTCTCGTGGGCGCAGACCTCTCGGAAGACCCCGCTCTTCTTCTTTGAGAAACGAATTCGATTCTAGAGGTGCCCTTTAAACTCTAGGCACTCAGGCGGAATCCTTAGTCCTCCCCTCGCATCTTGCTGCGTCCTACTCGTCTGCCAGTCTTAATTCCAGTAGGCAAAAGGCCTTTATCCGCGTAGGCTCGACGAAGAGGTCCTTGCTCCCTAAAGTTATTCACGAAGAGATTTGTACCCCTGGGTGAATCGTACTAACGCTGCATAGACACCAGCATGCGAGAACCACGGCGTGGGGGCAGTGACTGACAGTGTTGCTTGTTTTCACCTCAAGCGGTTCTACATTCAAGACCATGCCCGGCGTCGTGGTGTGCAGCGACGACGCGTGCAAACAATAGGCGCCAGTGACTGCCTCGTCAGGCGTGGCAGTTTGCTTCCACCCCATACGACAAACAGTCACATCGCTGTCTCACAACACATCCTTTTCTCTTATAAACTCCCCACGAGTCTCTAAATATCCCACGGCGACTGACAATCCTGTCACTGAAAAGTGAAGGCGGCGGCATGGCTTTGATCTCGACCTGCTCTTATTGGTCGGCTTGGCAGGTGAAGGCGACCACATACCGTGGGTGACAATAGAACAGACAATGGGCCACCCATACCAGCCACCCGCATTGTTTCTCCTTCACCAGGTAGTCCTACTCCTTATGGCGAGAAATCTTTTTCAAGCTCTGCTGCAAATTTACCACCGACCTCACTTCCCAGCTACTCCAAACACCGACCTCCAGTCCAAAAGACTACGATCAGCTGCGAGCCGGATCTTTCAGTCTGACAACCACGAAACTGCACGCATTAGCAAGGCATCTCAAGATGTTTGCGCAAGAGTATATCCCTTTTGCGACAGACACAGCATCGTCTACGGACGAGCGCGGTATCCCACAACCCTCCCATCTCACGCGCAAAGCATCATCCGCAAGCAGTACGTTCTTGCGAGAGCTTCTTGGCCCGGAGATGGCTCTCTCGATCATGCCTCCCGGCTGCCGCACCATCGCCTTCTCGCAGTGGGGTGGCTTCACTGCAGCGCCCGAGCAGGTCACACCGACCGGAGAGCTCAAGGCCTCAGACCTGTACATGGATCGCGGGATGACATCCACCTTCAACCCTCCGACGTCCGAATGGTGTTATCTGGGAGTGAACCAGCCAAAGCCAGACCCCAGATATAACGCGCAGCCTATTCCAGATCTTCGCAAGCGCAAGCGGAACTCATCGACCAGCATCGCGACTGTGAGCGAGCAAGGCGATCAGGGTGCCAGACCCAAGGTAAGGAAATCACTGTACAAACTGCGTGTGAGACAAACGCTGACTTCGTATCTTTGTAGCCAACGACTTCGCCCGTCCGTTTTACTAGGCAGACACTGAAGCGAGTGAACACCAACTCCGAGCTCACAAGGTCGTTCGAGATGGTGTCCATCAAGGAAGAGAAAAAACCCACGTTGGCCGAAAAGTTCGCGTTCGAGGGACTGAACTGTGAGGATCTTCCGTCAGCATTCGACTCCGACGACGAAGAAGAAGACTACGACATCCGACATGCTCGCTGATGGAAGCATGAGAGCCCCTGAGTATCACTGCCTGCTTCGCGATCAAGGACGGTCGCATAGGGTGGTCTGGGGGTGGAAAGCAACCATGCAACAAAAGCTTATGAGCGCATCGCATGGGAGTTGATTCCGTTGCAACGCTGGTTATATTGTTCACTGAAGCGGCGCATGGCTTGAGCACATGGCTTGGAAGTTGCGATGGCAAAAGGAGTGCAAGATGAGGCAGAACGGATGGAGATGTCTCGCTTGCTGGCTGGTCCGAGCTCTCTTTGGATTCGATGACAGCATCGATCATCAGCTCTAGCATAACTTTTGGCTTGTACATAGACACCTGCCACAACAATCAATTGCATATCACAACCATGGAACGAAGTCTACTGCAGTGCACGCGTGCATTTTCAAGATGTACTACGCAAACCTCATGTCGTAATCCACCCAAATGCAGGCCCTCGGCGATCGCGTCCGCACGACAGGCACGCTGCCTACACACGACACGCCCCGCCCTCCTCCAATCCAAACCTCCAAGAACGCGCGATCGCGGCCCAAAGAGCGACGAAGACACGCAGACCGACTTCAGTGCTCTCGACGTCCTCCGGAACACCGTCGCTCCCGCCACATCCATCGACGCGTGCACAGGCGATGGCTTCGCGCTCAACAACCAGATGCGCATTAGTGGATGCGGCATTCTCTTGATAGGCGGAGAGGCATATCGATGGAAGCCATGGCTTCGCGAAGGCAGGAAAGAGGGCACCATCGCTGAAGGAGGCACGGGCGATGATGCAATGACAGGCAAATTGCTGAACGCGAAGGGGCAATGGGAAGTGCAGGAGCAGGCTTGGGGAGTGTTGGAGTTATTATATCCGAAGCCTGGTACGTTTCTAATCTCCTGCAAAGATTGCGTGACGAACGTGGTCTGACAGCGAGCGACAGATCTACTCATCATTGGCACCGGCCCCAGTACCGTCCCTCTTGCGCCCGCGGTTCGCAAGTACCTCAACGACCAGGGAATACGATTAGAAGTCCAAGACACAAGGAATGCGGCGGCGCAATTCAACCTACTTGCGACAGAGAGGGGTGTGGGACAGGTTGCGGCAGCGCTCATACCCATCGGTTGGAAAGAAGGACGATGATGCTCGGACTAGCAGAGGGCATACCACTGTCCCGTTGGTTTCTCCAAACGGTCACGCTGTGGTGGCTCCTTGACGCCTTGGAAGACCTAGGAGCTGACTTAGACCTTCCGGCTGTGAACGACTCCAGGTCAATGGTCCACCACTCAAACCATGGAGGGTAGTCTTGTTTCCAGGCAAGCTATAATAGGACCAGCGACACGTCACAGTACGAAGACATGAGCGCGTAAGTCAACGATTTTATGAGACATGCCCGCTAAGTTGAGCACGCTCATTGCACTATTTGTATACATACATTCCATTGTTCTTAGATGATCCTGGAATCGACCTGTACATATAAGTCCTTCGTGTCTCACTTTTACCTCTCTCTTTGTCGTACTTTTCATGAATTCCCAAACTCGTTCCTCGCGCTGCTTGCTTGTTCTGACTCCACCAGTTCTATTTGCTAGTCCGGCCGTCGAGCAAACAAACGCTGTCACAATCACAGCCGCGACTCCCTCCCCTAGACCGCTCCTTCCGACTTGCGCCTTCTTAACTCACCACGTGGCCCAGCGATATCGCATAAGTAGCAAGCCAATGTCGCTTAAATACGTGACCTGCGCACTATCGACCTTTCTTTCCACTCTCCTCAGTCTAATCACTCGAAGCTGTGAACTAATGTCTGACGCTGATATGCACGGAATAAGGTGGGGCTTCGGTAGGCGCGTGGTAACTCCTGATGAGGAAGCAGCCATAGGCGACACTACGCCGCTACTCGGTTCGGAACGCTCTTACCGCAGCGAAGAGGCTGGAAGCGACTTTCCGCCAACCATGGATTGCAATAATGCTTCCGCCGCCACGTCTTCAGCAACACCACGTCCGGTGACTCCCTTTGTTGCCGAACTACCGATTATTCATAGCCCATCGTTACCGGCAGTCATACACAGCTCAGGCCCTAGGCTGTCCGTCCTCCAGTCGTTCAGGCTTAGCAAGTTATACCGCAATCGGTTCCTATCGCCTACAGAACTGTCCTGCCATACCGACCACTCCACAGCACAGATGGAGTCGCAAATTCAAAATGACGACAAGAGCCTAATAATCGAAATACTGTCACCCGTTCTCGACCACCTGAAGGAACTGAAGGCGTTGACACCCGAGACTCTACAGGACCACAATCAGACCCTCAACAACGAGACGCACGCTCAGGTTCTTAAGCAGAAACTGCTACCGATAGGTCAGCTTATCGTGGACAGCCTCGAAACAGTCCCACTGGACCACCGGGGTTGGTTAGAGGGAGCTATATGCCATCACATCGCCGACAATTACTGGCCGCTGCCTGTCAACTTCTTCACCCATCTGAAGATCCAGGAGAAATACCGCAATGCGCTCTTCAGGTTGGCGCAGCGCACACCTCCCGGAGCCATCGAGCCGCATCCCAACAAGGACTCTCAGCAGCCTCAAGCACCAGCTATCGAGCCTGATCCGCCCCAACCATCGCTGGACCCGAGGGATATTCCGGACACGCCACCATTCCCCAAATCGACCGCTGAGCAACCTCAAGCATCAGCTATCGAGCAAGATCCGCCCCACCCGTCGCTGGAACCGAGGGATGATTCGGATACCACTGCACCATTTCCCGGATTGTCCATTCAGCAGCTACAATCATCAGTCGTTCAGGCCGCTCCGGGCTCTGGGGACTTTCTAGATCTAAACTTTTACGAGTTGAGAGCAGAGGCTATTGAAGAGGCCGATGCGAGGGACTTGGACAACGTATAGTACCCAATGGTCAAGTACCACCTTCTGCCTAGTCTTCCAAGGCTGGACCGAAAGATCCGGAAATGTCAAATGCCCATGTCACTCTTCAATCCTCAATGTACGGGCTATTGGGACGCTTCTTTCGAGATCAACAACAACCAAGTTCAATGGAAGGTAGTGATACCTCATGTACGCATCGTATGTGAAACATTTACTGACTTTGTACATTCATCCTTAGGCTAAGCCTGATCCTAACACCATCCTTTACAACTACATGCTGCCCCCCGATCATATGACCAAATGTGTCATACCATTATTTGCGACACGCGGCCTGCTGGCAGATCTTGAGCTCGGCGTGGCCACGAAGATGAGCCACGAGTATCAAGACTCTAGGCAAAACCTGAGTGCAATGCTCGATTATGACATGCGTTGTTGCATCCTCTTTCTGACTCGCAAACGGCCCGATCTCCAACCATTCGAAGTACTGTGGTGCGCTGTAAGTGGGGTTCTGAAGTTGCACAAACCCTCGTTCGACAGATACGTTCAGGCACCTACAAAGATTCGCCAAAGGGTCAGACGAGACGGAATAGCAGCGTTTCAGAGAATGATAAAAGCCCCAGATTTCGACCACGTTGACCAATACCTTTGGAACGCGATGAGGGTGCTTGAGATCTATACTAGACCTCTGGTTACAAAAGAAAGTGTATTCCTCTGGATCGATTCCTTTCGTCTTGAGAACATCGACGTCATCTACGATTTACGCCTAGATGGCGCGAAAGCTCGAAAGAAATTGTTCGATTACCTCGAAGAGAGGCATCCTGGTGGCGAATCCATATGGCACAGCCTCGTGCAGAACTTCCACAGCCATGATGTAGTCAAATTTCCAGAGTACGCTACTCGACCACGCTCAATCGAAACCATTACTACCTGGGTATATTTCTTCACTGAAGCTCGACAGGGTGTTCTACTGAAGGGAATGGAATTCGACGCATTAGTCCTCGATGAAGCTGTAGCAGCTGTAGCAGCGGAGAAAAAGAAACCGAAAAAGAAGAACAAGCCGAGGAAACGTAAAGGTGCCAAATCGGGGGAGCTGCCTGATGAGAAGGAGCTGCCAGTTGCTCAAGAGAAGTGCACATCTCAAGACCTTCCTGTGTCTCTTGAACAACCTCCACAGAGGGACGACACGACACCGCAAGAGGAGTCTGTAACTCAAGAACAACACACATCCCCAGAGCAAGCTCTACCCCAGGAAGAGCCCCAAACCAAAAAGCAGCGCTTATCTAGAGAGCTATCGACTACGCCTACACCTTGTGGACCTACACCCTTTTCAACGCTGGAAGAGAAGGAGAAGAGCGAGCAGAAGCAGTCAACAGAGCAGTTAAAGAAGCAAAGAAAGAAGCAATCGAGATGGGAGAAGAAACATGGCAAGGCAGGAAAATCCGACGCTAAGAAGCAAGCAGCCTCAATCACGGTGGAGGAGTCTTCGCCATCCGTTGTCGCGAAGGCCGATGACGGTGGTGACAGTGTTACTGGAAACGCCGACAAGGATAACGACGGTGTTATTGGCAGCAGTGTTATCAACGACGGTGGTGACCTTGGTGGCCACTTGTCTGCGGCTGATTCGGTTCCTAGCGATGAAGCGCCTACCAATCAAGAGACGGTTCAAGAGCATCCAAGCAACAGGTACGAAGTTTTGATGGCCAAGCCGTCGAAACACGCTGGGAAGTCCGCCGGAAAGCTAGCGTTCCATGCCGATAGTGAAGATGACATGAAGAAGGCCATGGAGGAGAGTCTTCTGAACGACCCGGGTAGTTGGTCAAAGGTGCAAGGGCGCGCGAAAGTGCGACCAAAGCAGAAGCAGAAACAGCGCACCGACGATCGCAAGAGTATCCAAGATGCGTACAGAGAGAGAGGCTATGCAACTGCTGTTACCGATGTTCAGTTGGATAGGGCAAGAGCTGAAGTGAAATCGAGAGAGGTACGGGCGGACTATCTCAGATCTAAAATAACGAGATTGTCTGCTCTAATACCAGGTGAGGGCAGCGCCAAATCAATCAAAGAACACAACAGCCCCGCTTGCGGGCAGCCTACATCCTGGTCAGCGCTTTTCAAACCTACGGAGAATGACACGGGGCGCAACCCTCCTCAAGAAGCCGCTCCGTCTACGAATGCTGTCGACACGCGACCGCGTACCGCAACTGCCACGGAGAACCGTGAACCCATTCGAGAGAGCGCACAATCTGCGAGCCATCACATTCTTGCGCAATCAGAACCACTCGTAAGGCAAGAGCAATTCAAGGACTCAAAGCCGTCCAAGGTTGTTGCCGGCGCGGCATCGACTCCCACATCAGGCACAGAGAACAGTGAGTCTATCAAGGAGACCGTACGGCCTGTCAGCCATCACACGACTATGCAATCAGAACCACCAGTTCATCAAGAGAGTCTCAAGGATCTGAAGCTGTCTAAGGACGTGGCGGGCGCAGGATCGACTTCCACGTCAGGCACGGAGAAGAGCAATTCCACCAAGGAGACAGTACAGCCTGTAGATTCTCAGCATTTTGCGGAACAAGAAGGTCCGGCGGATAAGGGGGCATCCGGGGACTTTACACCATCGGAAGATGCTGCGGGTGCGGGATCGACTTCCACATCTGGCATAGAGAACAGCAGTCCGATCAAGAAGACGGTACTGCCTGCGGACCCTCGAGACATTGCGCAATCGGAACATCTGGCAGAGAAGGAGAAACCCATGGACCTGGCGCCATGCGAAGATGCTGTTGGTGCAAAATCAACTCCTGCGTCCAGCGCAAAGAACGAAAGCTCCACCACAGAGATCGCACAAACTGTCGAGCTTCACTCCTTTGCGCAAACAAGGAAACCGATGGACGAGGAGGCTCCCGAAACTCGCCACAGGCGTAGGGCCAGCTCGCCGCCATCTGTGAGTTCTCTCACTCCTTCGCAGCCGCAACTGCCGGTGGATGAAGAGGAGTCCAAGGACTGCAACGTTCATGAGGACGGTCCGCCGCCACCTGTGAGTCCTCACGCTTCTGCGCAATCGCAACCGCCAGTGGATGAAGAGAAACCCAAGGACTACAACGGCCATGAGGACCACGCAGAATCAATTGCGGAAGATGATACCCCAAGCCAGCCTTCAATCGTGATCGACTCGGCCATGTCGCATGTGGAGCAGTGGCTTGCAAGCAAATATGCGGCTGCCTTCGCCGGGCTCACGCAAGCGGAAATAGACGATGCGCACTGGCGACCTCAGCAGTCAGCCGCGACTTAGAGGCAAGAATAATTGAAGGCTTTTTGACACGACTGGGACGGAAGAGAGGGTAATGAAGGGCGATAATAGGGTGGTGGAGGAACATGATAGGATGGTCGCGCGCCAATTTTTTACCGGTACTTCCGGCACATGGCGCAGGTGTGACAACGTCACATGGAGGGCTTAGAGGTATCGAATAGAAATCTCAACCCAAGCATACAATCTTCTAGACGTGCATCGTATATCGTATCGTCGTAGCGCCGGATCTAGTGCAACGGGCGGGCGATGCAGGGGTTTCAGGGTACGCGAAGTGGGTACCCGCATCTCGTTCCTGAGTGCACAGCCTCCGTCTCGTAGGGCTATCCGCGTATTCGTCTCGGAGTGGATCACTACATGGGTCTCTTGCGCTTTTGGGTGCAGCTTGCGATGGGCTCAGTTGTATAAGGAGGAATGATGTCTGTGATGATGGATTTTACAAGCCACACATTCATTGCGTTCGTCTTCTTCCTGTCGCTTTCCAACGCATACTTCCAGTTCTTTTTCATTCGTTTACGATAACTGCTCGTGTGCTGCGGAACGGCGTGCTCCTTCTCTCCCTGCGTCAACCTTCTTAGGCGTCTTCAGCCATACTTTATCCCCGGAGCATCACAATGGCAGGCGACACGTCAACAGACACAGAGGCGTACGCTCTCTTTCCCTACGAGCCCAGCAAGGTCGGCGCCATCCTGTTTGCTGTCCTCTTCGGCCTAAGCACAATCTACCACCTTTTCCAAATGATCCGAGGCCGCGCCTGGTTCTATACAGCCTTTGTAATCGGATCAATAAGTTCGTCTTCCCTTCCCTCCTCCATCTCACAGCACATTGAACTAACAACTTCCACCCAGTGATGACAATCGGCTACGCCGCCCGCTATCTCTCCGCGCAATCCCCCTCGGAACTGATGCCCTACATCATGCAATCCCTCTTCATCATCCTTCCGCCCTCGCTCTACGCCGCAACAATCTACATGATCTACGGGCGCCTCGTCATCTTCGTAAACGCCGAACACGCTTCCGTTATCCGACCTACGTTGGTAACCAAAATATTCGTCTGCGGCGACGTCGTTGCATTTCTCATGCAGTCCGGTGGTGGCGGCATGATGGCGCAGGCAGACATGGCGGATATGGGACAGAAGATTATGCTGCTGGGATTGTTTGTGCAGTTGGCTTTCTTTGGGTTCTTCGTCGTGGTTAGTGCCATATTCTATTTCAGGATGAGGACTGCGCCTGAGAGATATACGGTGCCGAAGTATGGGAAGTATGCGTGGCCGACTTTGGTAAGTTGCTTTTTCCTTCTTCTCATCTCCTTCGTCGACGAACGATGTACTAATTCATGGCAGTACAAACTCCTTGCCATCGCAGCTGTTGTCATCATCGCTCGCTGCATCTTCCGCGTCATCGAGTTTGGACAGGGTCATAGTGGGTATCTGGCTTCGCATGAGGTGTACATGTATGTTTTCGATACGCTGCCTATGTTCTTGGTACAGGTCTTGTTCCATTTTGTACGCGCGGATGACGTGTTTGGAACGAACCACCGGGCGGTAAAGAAGCTGGATAGTGAGATTATCGGACTGTACGAGAGGGCGTGAAAGGATGTTTGCTGTTTTTCTTTTGTACTCTACAAGATGTTACGGGCGTTGGTATTGCATTTGGGTTTGGCGTGGCATGATTACGGCGTTTACTTATTCTGCGGCCACGACAACCTTATGTATCTAGAACTCGCATTGAATTTTTGATAGACATGAATGCGTGCATCTTCAATCTGCTGCCCAGGTGTTGTGGTGTTTAGGGGAAGTCGCCGGGATGGAAAGTCTCGCTCGCCGAGTGGGCCGAGGTTCACAAATTGGGTTAGCACCAACCTGTTTCTAGCTTCATCGTATTTCGTTCTTCGTTTCTCGTTCGCGTTGCCTCCGTCCGCAGAGCCTCCCTACTACTTTTTCCTCGCCTATAATATCAAGCACTCGATGCAATTGGCCAGTTCCAATGGCTCTGAAAAGAAAAGCTCACTCGAAATCGCGGACGGGCTGTGCCACGTGCAAGCGCCGCCGGATCAAGGTACGAAGCATGTCGTACTACAACCTCCATTCTGACGCGCGCGATAGTGCGACGAAGCAAAACCGCGATGTTCGCATTGCGTGAGGCATGAGGTTGCCTGTGTATACCCAGAATACATCCCCGTGAGAGCCAAAAGTTCGACTGAACACGCGTCTTCTCGTGCTCAAACACCGGCAACTCCGAACGCATTCCAGCTAGCGTCCCCTCAGAACGACCCTTTCGCAGCGAGCACACCATGTTCCGAAACCCAGGTCATTCCCTCATTCTCTTTGAAGGATATGTCCCTATTGCATCACTGGACAATGGCTACAAGTCTTTCCATACTCCCCGGTGTTCCGGCAGTCACCCAGCTGTGGCAGGTGGTCTTCCCAGAAATAGCATACAAACACGCATACATGATGCACTGTCTCATCAGTCTCTCCGCTCTACACGTTGCATATCTCAATCCTGACGACAGACGCGCAAATCTCCACATCGCAGCGCATCATCACACCGTCGCTCTCAGCGGATTCAGAGCAGATATCGACACGATTGGCCCGCACAACGCTGAAGCAGTCTTTGCTACTTCAACGCTAATGTTCTTCTACGCTTTCTGTACCTTTTCCAAGCTTTCAGATGCCAACGCGGACAAACAGCAAGATAGCGACAACACCAACGATAGCCTATCAATACGGGCATCGCGTATTTTGGGTGCAGAATGGATACCCCTTGTGCGCGGTATCCAGGCTGTGATAGGTCCTATCTACGAACATCTCAAAGAGGGCCCTTTAAAATCAACGCTCCATCTAAAGGACTGGGATGATATGGATCCCAACATGCAGCCGGGACCGGATGATCAGCACGTGGTGCGCATCAAGCAGACGTGGGCTGACGATGGTAATAAGGCAGTATACGACGAGACGCTGTATTTGTTGAGGAAGATGAGTGCATGGGTCCTTCATTTCCGGAAAACCTGGGAAGATCAACAGGAGGAATGGGGATATAACGGTAGTTGGTCTGCTGTAAGTTGCTAAATCTTGCTCTCCAGGTCTACTTGACACTCTTACTGACTCACGGCTTCTGTCGCGATGTGTACAGCCGTTCGTTTGGCTATCTTTAGTACCAAAAGAATACTTCAAATTGCAGCAACAACGGCAGCCATTGGCTTTGCTCATCTTTGCTTACTTTGGCGCACTGTTAGAACAGCTTCACACAGGTTGGTGGACGGCAGGTTGCGGCACGAGCATAGTAGGTGTAGTAGATGACTTCCTAGGATCCTACTGGGCAGAGTGGATGGAATGGCCAAAACAAGTGGTCAATCAACAACAACAGCGGCAAAGCTCCGAGAAGCAAGGCATCGACATCCACTAGATCGAGAGATGCGTTCTCAAGCCACGATACCCAACGCCTCATAAACCGTTGCAATGAACTCCGACGTTCTCGGATTGCCCATACCACCCTTGCCTTTCTCATTCGTCTGCCCCAACCCGGCTGCATCCATCTTGTTCATAACGTATCCAAACGTCATCTTCCTATCCGCATCAGCGATAACCCGGCTTCCGCCCCAACCACCCCAGGTCGCTGCCCGTCCCAGTGGCAGATCAGCCATTATGCTTCCTTCAGCTGGCAGTCCAAATCCCAGTCCAAGACGGACATTCATCGGAATAACGAGGTCCTGCGCGGCATGTTGCTGTGTCGAGAAGATCTGATCAAGAGTCTTTCCAGAGAGGAAAGAAGGGTTTTCCAAGGAGATGACGGACATGAGACGAACGAGAGCGCGCGCATTACTGTATCCGTTCGCCGCGCCAACGACTGAACCCCTCCAGACTGGTTGGTTGGCCCAGTCAGCGTCCATGCCGGGGTTTATGCCCATAGACTTGAACATGATACTCTTTGTATCAATGGCCATGCCCTCCATATTCTCTTGGTGTTGTGGCGGGGGAATAATATCGGCGACTCTGTGCCACTCCTTCTCCGGGACACCAAGTTGAAAGTCCGCCGCGAGTGGACGAGAGAGTTCCTCAGCGATGAAATCTTGCATTGGCTTCCCGGTTACACGACGGATCAACTCGCCGAGGAGATGGCCCATTGTGAGTCCGTGGTAGCCGTTCGCGGTACCGGGTTCCCACCACGGCGCCTGTTGCTCCAACAACTTCGTACTCTTCTCCACATCGCACACATCCTCGATTGTAACGGGTCCCTCCCACCCACTCACTCCACTCGCATGCGAAAGAAAGTGGCGTACTTCCACGCCTTCTTTCCCGTTCGCGGCGAATTCAGGCCAGTACTTGCACACCTTCTCGTTCGGATCCAGAAGACCCCGGTCGATACACAGAAGAGCCGCCAGCGCGCAGATGGTCTTGCTAGACGACCAAATACATGTTATAGTGTCCTTTTCCCACGGTCGTGTTCGGGCTTCATCTGCGTAGCCACCCCAGAGATCGACGACTTCCTTCCCGTCGAGATTGACGCAGATGGAGGCGCCGAGCTCTTCGCCCGAGTCGAGGTAGGATTGGAAGACGGACTTGACTTTGGCGAAGCGAGGGTCGCATGTTCCTTGGACTTTGGCCATGGTGATGGGAGAGGGCAAGGAGTAGACTTGGCTGGTATATCGCGATGTGGTCGTATCGAGGTGATGTTGGTTGTGAAGACGTAGTATGAGTTTACTTGTAGATCAGATGCTCGAACTGTGGATGAAGGATTCGTGTTACCACACGAGCAGTACTTGTACTTTCTACATTTCACAATGGCATCGTCTCCAACCTGACGGGGAAAAGCCCACTCGGTCCGCCGTATAGACCGTATAGCCATCGGCTGCGGAACGTCCGTATTCCGAACTCAGAGCGCGGACTAACAAGGACGACGAGATTAGACGTGGTATGAAAGCGCCCAAGTTACTGCGTTGCGCTACATCTACGCGTAGTTTTAGAGTTGCCGCATCCTGCTGCCGCTGTAGTCGGACCACTCCTCGGCCGACGCCAGCTCTCTCTTAGCGGCATTCCGTGGTTCCTTGTGCGGCGGCTTCGGTGGTACTCCACTACTCAGAGATACTCCGCACATCCACAAGCTGCGGAAGCGGAGTCGAAGTCGTCCCGCAATTGACATCAATTGGATGCATGGCTGCAAATAGATAATCAAACCTTGATTGAGCGCAAGTGAAAAGTGATCATCTAGGTACTGATGGTATGTATGTCATTTTCTGGCACGGGAACACCAGCTTCTTCAGGTTTCACACAAGCATCGTTTCTTCACTCTAGATAGTGAAAACCACTTTTCAATCCGGATAATACTACTACACCCCAAGTCCATGAACACGAGGAGGATCGCAGATCCCCATACGCCTCAACACCATCACACCATGCCATCTCCACTCATCCTCGTCCCATACCCCTACTTAAGAAACTTACTAACAAGCCCCTTCCCACCCTTGATCAAATTCTTGACCTCCCTCTTAATATCATCCGTCGAATTCCCGCCCTGATGTCCCGGCTGCATGAATCCCCCACCCGCACCGCCCTCCCCACCACAATGGCCCTGACCACCACAAGTACCACCAGGGCAACCTTGGATAAAATGTTCAACCTCGCCGCAACATCTTCCACACTCACCCGAGCCCATGAACGGACCTCCTTGACCCCATCCCACGCGCATAATACGGGCTTTACGACCTTCCCATCCAGTCTTCGCATCTGTGGCGTGGAAGCAGCCCCAGACCTCTGGGCCACCGGGCCCGTTGACTAGGACGAAGTTTCCGTGACCTGGACCATAAGGCGGAGAGTCATCGCGAGCGGCTTTGAGAAGGGGTTTGTTAGATTTAGCCCAGGAGTGTGGGTCAAGCGGGTGACCGCCGGTGTAGTATAGGATGTTCATCTTGTACTCGTGTGTCCAGCTTCCCGCGCAACTGTACACAAGACCCATCCAGCGGCCGTCCGGTGAGCAGAGGAACTGCGGACCCTCGTTTATGCCGCTGGTGCCTGAGAACTCGAATTGCAGGTCTGGCGTGCTGATGCGGATAGGGTGGCCTGTACATTCTGTCGGCGAGACCATCTCGATGATGAAGATTTCTTGTCGCGACTCGTCGGCGTGGGTACCGAGGGGCCAGCCTGAGTAGACGAAGAGCATGGAACCGCCCAGTGTGACGACTGTACCGTCGATTGCCCATTGCTCTTCGGGGAGACCGCCTAGTCGGCCGAAGAAGTTCCATTTACTTGGCTCCAGAGGGTCTTCTTCTGAGGGTGGTCCTGCTAGGACAAACATGCGATGCGACTTGTTGCCATGCTTGGGGTCGTCGGCCGCGAAGTAGACATACCAGCGGCCGTGGATGGAATGCAGTTCAGGTGCCCATAAGTCGGCGGAGTAGGGCTGGTCTGGCGGAGGACGCCAGATTACGTTCTTCTTGCACTTCTTCTCAAAGTCGAAGAGTGAGTCCGCGGACCAGATCTCGATGTGGCCGCCACAGGTGAAGGTCATGTAGTACGTGCCTTTGTCCCAGAGTACGTACGGATCTGCACAGCTGCTGCTCGTGATGGTGAGGATAGTGTCGTGGTATTGCGGTCTTTGCGCAGGCCATGCTGGCTGCAGTTGTTGCGCCATGTTTACTGCTTTCGCCCTATGGTCCGATCCCGAACTTCAGCTGCGAGTGCGAGTATCGTTTGGAGATACCTCAGAACCGATGAAAAAGGTCGGATACGTTCTCAGATGGAGTGAAAGTGCTAGCTACTGTAGCAAATCTAGATCGTTGACTGCACTATCAGCGTGTGGCTGTGTGCATGTGATCTCTGCTCCAAGGCGCACGCGCGTAACAGCTGTATGATGACGTCATCGCGTACAATCATTTTCTTGGTTAGTACTACATAGCCGGACTGCTTCACCTTAAGCAGGCGCGTATGGGGACGGACCGAAAGGCTGTGGAGGTGTGATGCAGAAAAGTTGGCAATTACTGCCGAGGCGAAATCGGGGTCCAATGTGGCAGTGAAGTGGGGGAAGGTGCAAGCCACAGGTCTGATTGCACGTTCTTGCAGGCACTATCAATATGACAGGGTGTTCAGCATTCTTGACTGTGTTATGATTATACTGTTACCTAAAGGTTCTTCCTAGCCCGGCTACATTACTATACAACAGTCCATCCATGATCATAGTACCTCATAACTCAGCCAAAATAGTCCGATTATCCAAGGTGGCTGAAGCGCATGCCCGAAAGTCATGCCCACATTAGAGCCCGGCAGAAGCCCGTGTATCCGTCACCGCCGCAATAAACAATAATAATATTTCCTGTAAAGAGTCCAAATCTTTACATGCTCTGGTGTCCTGCCCTTGAGTCGAAGACTGGGTATCCAGCATTGCCAACGACTTTAGCCAAGAAAGCAGAGATCGGCGAATGTCATAAGGCATTGTAAAAGAGAAGCACCGTAAACGCCGTGCCAGATCCAAAAAGACCGGGAATGGCAAGATCGAGTCCAATAAATAAGTTGCGTTGAAGGTATATAGTGTGATGGCATTATACGTTGAATGAGTGTGTGTCGGTGTTTCACACTATAGCTCTGTCTTGAGCGTCTCGTCGACAGTAAGTTCGCCAGACTCGATGCGGTCTACGCGAAGTACGAGCTCCTGTATTACCATTAGTATGTCGAATATTACGGTTGCTGTTGTAGCGCTTACCTTGAGAGCTCTAGCGGTCTTGAATGCAAGCGGCGGAATCCTGTCGCGACCTCCACCGTTGATGTCGACAGCAAGCATACTCTGCCTGCATTCATCGAGCACCTCTACTACGGGAAGCGCGTGCTTTTTCAATGCAGGGTTGGAAAGCTGATTTACAGCATCGTAGGTCTTGTTACCAGTGTCGTCGACTGCTTGCGAGATGTCCTGGATGTACTCGTAAATTTGTTGCTCGTCACTTGGCGTAGAATCAGGGTTCGAGCGGATGAGATTGACAAGCGGCTGTATGCTCTGGACAAGGAGTGCCGTCTGATCTTCAAGGTAGTTCTGCCAACGTTAGTAGAGGTTGACTACTGGTATTGGTTGGAATATACCTTGAAATCGAGCATACCGCTATCGCCTGCGCCATTAGCACCGTTCATGGCTCCGCTTTGCCCGTCGTATCCACTGTAGGGAGAGCTGTAGGTGCTGTACCTGGTAGTGTCACTGCTGCCGCCTTTGCTGCTACGACTGCGCTGGTGACCATATGCCGAGGTCGCACCGCTGCTGTTGGTATTGTCGTTGGTGTTGCTCGGCGAGTACGCACTGTAGTTGTTGTGCCCAGCCGGCTTTAGTGGCATCGGCCTATCAGCATCCTCATCGTCTGCCTCAAGCTCGTCTTCTGGTGTCGGTCGTACTTTGACATGTTTGACCAGCTCGACAACAGCTGTTGACAA